TTTGAAATGCTCAGGCCCTTGGAGATCAGTAGGTCGAGAGTGTGTCCTCTATTATGTGTGGTCTCTGTTACATGCTGAGTGTTACTCAGGTCTTTAGTCCCTTTGTCCTGAGGGTTGTCCACATGGATGTTAAAATCCCCAACAATAATTACACAGTCGAGATCAACACAGATCACAGACAGCAGTTCACTGAGGTCATTAAAAAAGTCTGTGCAGGTTATGGAACCTCACTTTTAGAGATTTTATGATCCCCTTGTCGTCTTTATTTCTGTTCCTTGTTTTTCATTCTTTTTTTTATTGTTATTTATTTTTGTATTGGTTATTCATCTTTTTATTTTATTATTATGTAGATGTGTGAATATGGATGTGTATGTATGCATGTGTATATATATGTATATATATGTGTGTGTATGTATGTTTACTTTCAGTTATTGTCGATTTCATTGTGGTGTACAGGAGATGTGATTCTGTTCTGATTGATTTGTGGCTTGTCTCTTTGAGATTGTCATTGTTATTGTTCTAAATAAAGTTCATTTAAAAAAAACGGCCCTAGTCGATAGTGGTTACGTCATCAGAAGTATGCGCGCGCACCCTTATACGTCGTCACTGTTTAACTGTAAGTATAAGAAAACGCAGTGATGATGACATTCCAACACTCGTGGGGGCAGCAACGTGGCAAAAACGAGGACGAAGTACGTTTAAAATACAAACGAAGAAACATGTTCGGTAGTGGTGTCCACCACAGCTTTACTGTAACGTTTACGGATCTTTTACGGTTCAGGGTCGTGCTGATTTTACTTCGTTTACTCGTCACAGTGCCAGTCTTGTGTTGATAAGCCTGTTATAATGTTGGGACAGTTGCATGAAGCAGAATAGATGTCGAAATCCCGCCTGTTACACAACTCGGCACCAAAGGTTTTGCCAGCAGACGTGCTGTAATGTAAATCATCTCTTTTCCTTTGGCTTAATTAAATGTTAGAATGGCCGCATTGCGAGCAGCAAAGCAAGCCCTGAGGAAAGAAGTAAAGCGACGGGTTGCCACAGTGACGGACGACGAGAAACGACGGCAGTCTCTGGTCGTTTCTCAGAAGGTAAGGAAGTGTTCATGGAAACCAGTCTGTGTGTCTCAGATGTTGCATCCCCAGATTCTAACATTTCTGCGAGTATTATAAAGACTTCGCCGAAAAAGAAGATTGCCATTTTTACATATATGCAAAAACATGTGTATACAGATGTGGCAAAAGCACAGACATGCTGTACTTAAGTAGAAGTAAAGATGCTAGTGTTAAAAAATGATTCCAGCAAAAGCTGAAGTACTTATTCAACGTCTTTACTGAAGTAAAAGTGAAAAGGTGCAAGCTCTGAAATGTACAAAAGTAAGAAAGTTTAAAAAGGACACTTCCACCAACTACACGCACTGGTAGCTAGACCTTCTCATATATTACTGTAAAACAAAAATAATGGTTATAAGAAAATAGAACTGTTATGTAAATCTAAATTCTAAAGCTAATGAATGTACTTATTTTGAAACGGTTATTTATGACACAAGCAATAAGGGAATAGAAAAAAATAGTTGGGGGTGACTTTGCTTCCACACCTAAACAGGAAAATGACAACAGTCATCAGATTTAGCCGGTGGAGTAACACAAAGATCTGTTTTAGTGGCTCAGTGTGGGGAACATGCTAACAGCTCACAATCATTTCTAATGTCAGCTACAGTCGATTTTCTTAGTGGACAGGCTGTGAGCCGCTAACCTGCCGCTACACACGGATCGAGTATCTGTTTAAAAATTATGGCCTTCCAGGTCATTTTAATTGGTACACTTGATAAATTGGTAGTTTATCAAGTGTCCCTGAGCAGTCTTTACGTTACATCCTTCACTCCTTTCTCTGTCTGAAAATTCAGCAGCTGGACCTTTATCTAGCAATACACTGTGCAACAAACAAACACAAAATGCAGTTTGTAATAAAGGTGTTTATTATTAGGGGGGATCCAAACTTACATGGACCTGTGTGAAAAACTGCTGCATTATCCAGAAATGGCTAAAACGTGGAACCTGACATGGAGGTCTGCTCCGGGGCCTCCTCCCAATGGGAGATACCCGGAAGCCTGGCCTTGGCCCTGGCTTGGCTACACCTAGAAATTCTGTCTATAAAATCAGTGACAAAGGGCAGCCTAGGCGGAGTCCAACACCCACTGGAACAAGTCCAACTTATTGCTGCCAATGTAAACAAAGCTCTTGGTTGTACAAGGACTGATTTTTTCTCATAGTAATGGACAACACACCCAAGGTGAAACTCATCCCATTCTGCAACTCTGTAGGCCATTTATCTGCGTTCACACTTTTGTTTTTACTACATAATTCCATATGTGTTCATTCACTGTTTTGATGACTTTAGTGAGAATCTACAATGTAAATAGTCCTAAAAATTAAAGAAAAAAGTGTCTAAACTTTTTACTGGCAGTGTATCTTAGACCCCAAAACCTTCTAAAGATTACTGCTATAGGAGTGAAATAAATAAGTAAAATTAAATGATATAAATGATAGTAGCAAGTCCTTATTTGCAAGTCGCAAAGAGTGGCCCAACAAGTTAAGTTGGTCAAAAATAATACGTTGAATTAACTCAAATGTAAGAAAATGTTAGATAAACTTGAGCTTTTTGAGTTTAAAAAATAATTTCACATTAGTTAATTTATTTAATTACTTTGAGCATTCAGATTTACAGGGTATTTTCAATTAAATTAATTAAATTAATTTACTCATGGAAGATTAAGGATTCAGAACCTTGATTTTCTCTTCATCTGCATTTTCTTTCAGTTGTTCAGTCACCCCAAGTACATGTCCTCTCAGCGGATTGCTGTGTTTCTGAGTATGAAGGATGAATTAAATACTCAGGAAATCATCAAGGACATGTTTAAGTGTGGTAAAAGCTGCTTCATTCCTAGATATGAGAGCACTAGCAGTCATATGGACATGTTGAAGGTCAACAGTCTGCAGGACATAGAGACGCTGCCTCTGACCTCCTGGAATATCCGACAACCTGCTAAGGAAGATAACAGCAGAGAGGAAGCATTGGCTTCAGGTTAGCATGCACACACACAAGACACTTTTATTAATAAGAGCAATAGGGGCAGACACACCTTAATACTAACCAATTGTTACACTGAATGTGGGTGGTCTAAAATTCAACTTTCAAATCAAA